TCATAACGACCCTGTACAGGGTTTCCGAGGCTGTAAATCTTTACAGGAGCAGAAAGCCTCATCTTTCTCCCACGGAGCAGCTGGTAGTTTCGAACTGCTGACCTTGCGGTTCACAGCCCGATTCGTAACCACTACGCTACCAGAGCTCCTTCAGCAAGGGACCCTCAGTTGCATATTGAAAGGTTGATGGTTTGAATCCAGGCTGTTAAAGATCTTTGTGGTTTTTATGTTAACTACTGAGCCACAGCCTCTCACTTTTAAAACTTGTATTCACTTTGCAGTGTTCAGTCATGCCATTAAGTCATTGGACTATGGGCCCAGAATTGTATGTTAAGTACCAAAGACGTACAAATGGACAAGAACCTTTCAGCCTAAACGTTCATGGGAGTTTGGGTGGGAGCAAACACGGAGTTTCCATCATGTTGGGCATTGAGCTCCTGGCTACAACAATGGAACACATTGAAAGTAAAATGACTAGTGTCTAGCAAGAAGTTAACACCTTCCATTCTTCTGTGGCACGCTAGCGAATACTTGCTATCAGGACTGACTGTGAGGGTTGGCAATGCAGACGTTTTGTAGCAAAAGGAGGGGAGTGCTTGACTTTGCAATTCAGGAGCAGAGGTCCCTGGGACCATCAAGGGAGAAGAGCAGAGTGCGGGACCCTACCCAGAGAAAGTGATGCCAGAGATGGAGGCAGAGAGGATGACGTGGAGAGATGGAGCAGCTGGGGACTCTAGACCCAGCGAGGTAGAGGGGCTGTGTACTGACGATCAGGGGGCAGGCTTGATGATGCATGGAGGGGATTATAACCATGGCAAGGAAATGATATACGATATAATATATAGCTAATGCTCTCCCCCGTGTAACCTATCACATAATTCACAATAAAACATTTTTTAAAAAAAAAACTTCAATTCTTTACCTTTTATAAAACAGAAGCAATCATAACTGCTTATACGTTCCAGAAGCATCCGTCAGAGTAAAAGCACTCATAACTAGTACCAGTTGTTGTTAAGTACCATGGAGTCAGTTCCCACTCATAGTGACCCTGCACAGGGTTTCTGAGACTATAAAGCCTCATCTTTCTCCAGCGCAACAGCTGGTAGTTTCGAATTGCCGACCTTGAGGTTAGCAGCCCGATTCATAACCACTATGCTACCAGAGCTCCTTACTCAAGGAATTAATAGGCGAAACTATGCCAACCTCATTTCACTTTCCCTTTCTACCACTACTACTAAGCCAAAGAAAGGTGCCCTAAACTCTACTTTCTAATTATCAGTGTGATTAGAATACCCACCAGTCGAGAACCTGATGTCAAACAAATTAAGGCAGTGTTCTCTCTGTGTGCTTAATGTCGTAAGAGGTTATTGATATGAAGACTTTGTGACTTCCTGGTTAGTACCGTTGAGTTGGTTCTGGCGCTATGTGCAAACAGAACACTGCCAGGTTCTGCACCATGCTCACCATCCCTGTGTGTGCTCCCCATTGTACCCAGTGTCTGTCCATCTCGAGGGTCTTCCTCATCTTTGCTGACCCTCTACTTTACCAAGCAGGATGTCCTCCTCCCGGAGCCCCTCCTGATAACACGTCCATTCTAAGAAGAATTCTGGCTGTACTTCTAAGATTTTGTTCATTCTTCTGCCAATCCACGGTCTATTCAGTGTTCTTCTCCAACACCAATTCAGCATATAAAACACTATAATTTTATATACCAGAAGTTATTACAGACATGACTAGAGATACAGATCGTATGCTTTCTGGACTTTAGGAATAAAATGTCAACTCCCTATCATTCCTTTCCCTCAGAAAAGCAGTCACGTGACACAGCACTGTATGATGACTAATTTTCTGACACACACACTCATAATGCAGACTTCTCTTGATGACTGAGATTCTTTATTAGCAGTCAAAACACTTTACACAATAGGAAAATAAATGTTTCTTTAATGAACAATGGAAATGATCCAGAACCTTCGAGGAGTTTCAGTGCATACTTGATGCACACCTTAAAAGACAGGACATTCGCTTAGTAGGATCCTCTGGGTATGACTGATAACGGGAAGCATCTTTTATAAAACTGTCACCTAACAGTTTTCCCAAACAGTAGTTCCCTGAAATTCAAACAGAAAATAACACTTATATCTAGTCTTAGATATGACTCACAACACACATCAAAATTTTATGCTTTTGATGTTACTTTTTAAAAGATGCTAAATAGAAATTCGCATCTCATTTTAAGAGCATGAATTTTGGTGGGCAATATACGTTGTCCTTTCTCAACATTAACCTGTCACAATACTATATCAAAGGCAGGATTTGTTTTGCTTCCTTCTGGCAGGACACCTGGCCACAGGCAGGCTGTGCTGTGTGGGTCACAAACCTCTTCTTGGAGGAGTACTCCTTATTTGCAGAAGAAACCACCATTTCACTTCTTTTGTATTATAAAAACAGAGGTAAACAAAATTTTAAATTCTCATTTTTCTGTTGGATGATAAAAATCTTTAGTTTGTAAATGATCTTTGTCTCTTAAATAAACCTTTCCGCTGGGGAGGATCAACACTCCACTGAAGCCACTGTTTTATTGGTCTTCCATGCATGTTCTCTCAACACAAAGTCAAAACAGTATTAGAGCCCCAGAGAAATTTCGATATTGAAGTTTGGAAATATTAATGCTTGTGGCTGTTTGTTCATAAGTGCCCTCGAGTCAGTTCCAATTCATAGCGATTCAAGATGCGGCTGGCAGGTTTGAAGCGCCAACCTTGCAGTTAGCAGTCCGAGCTTATCCTACAGCACCCCACCAGCTAGATATTAATCAGTAGTCTCTGCATGTGCTTGTCAATTCCACACAAAACACCATCTTGAAGTCTACTGCCAGTATTCAAAAGCCAAGAGTCCACACGGGCCCTAGATGGCCTATTTAAACACATGACTCTCACGTGAGCTCCATGAACACTTGGCTGTGGGATATATGATTTTTCAATCTACAAACATACATACACATGCGTGTCCACATATACACACAGTTGTTACTCATCTTATCAGCACTGCTGACAATGCTGAATGCCTGAATACTGTTCCAAGAGACAAGTGCCTATATATATATAGAGAGAGAGAGAGAGAGATCTATATCTACATATATATATATATATTTTTTTTTTTTTTAAATTCAGTCTTCAATATTGAAACTTCTAAGTTACTCTGTTTTTCCGGGGGGAGGGGGGGGTTAAGTTGGGGTGGAATTTAAAAATATAAATTTGGGAAGACATCCCTGTTATTAAGTAGGTTTAAAAGGAAACCCATCTGGAGAATACTCCAATAGCATTATTTGTAATAACAACTGGAAACAAACTATCCAAAAATAGATACCCAGTAAAATAAATTAAGAAAGGTTCAATGGATAAAACATTACATATCAATTAAAACAGGAAGATGAAGAACATGAGGAAATACTTGCCAATTTAAAGCAAACACAAACAGGATCCTTGCTACATTTACAGAGTAGACAACTCAATTTGCAAAAACTTAACAGAGTCATAATGTAACATACTGTGTCACCGTCTTGCTAAATGCAGTCAAGCTGGTTCTGACTCACAGCAACCCTTTTTAGGGTTTCCAAGAAGTGACCGGTGGGTTTGAACTGCCGACCTTGCGGCCAAGTGCTTATTCTACAGCACCACTGTCTCAGGGGTATGTTTTTCCTTTACTGAAAACAAAAAAGCCACAACATAAAGTTTCTATAGGGACTATAGAGTCCCCGTGTAACACTGCAGGATAAGCACTGGACCAACCGCAAGGTCAATTTGAACTGCAAAGTGGTGGTTTAAACCCACCAGCCACTCCTCAGAAACCCTATACAGAGTCCTAACTATGAGTTGGTGGTGCTGTGGGTTAATGCACTGGACTGCAAAGGCGGTTTGAACTACAAGGTCACCAGTTCAAGCTCACCAGCTGCTCCTTGGAAACCCTATTCAGGGTCGCTATGGGTCAGAACAAACTCTACGGTACTTAACAACAACATGAGTTGGAGCAGACTGGACGGCACTTAACAACATAGTGACATACTTTTTTTAAAAGAAAATGAAATACAACCATAAGTACAGAACAACTCTTTCAAAGCTGGTCTTTAAAAATAATGTCCCTTCCAAGAAAGTTTGTGCTTGAAGGAAGGAACCTTTAGGAACGAGCTTTCAGAAGCAAGGCAAGTACCAGGTCTCCGATCTTATCAACAAGGCCCGAATCTGTACACTCTGAGCTCTTTCAGACAACACATATATTTCCATGTTTGAGGACATTTCACATTCAAGTTTAATATTTGGGAAAAATTCAAAAGCACAGCTATCTTCTTGTAACAAAGTAGTTCTCAATTAGCAATCACATAATTCCAAAAACTCACTGCCATCGAGTCAATCCAACTTGGAGCATGCTGTCTAGGGTTTCCGAGGCTGTCAATCTTGAGGGGAGCAAAAAGCCTCATCTTTTTAAAACTACGTGTTAACCCTGTGGAACATGTGACATGAACAGTAAACACCCCTGGGTAATACCTATCAGAAGTTACAGCTGACAGAGGATTATTACAAAAGCAGCAATTTTCAATAGAAAATGGAATCATTTCCTTGCAGGGGATTTCCTGTGAAGCTGGGGCAAGATTCAACTTTCTGTAATTGCCATAGGACAGGACAGAAAGACTTCCCTACAGGCCCCTCCATCTAGGGATGGAACTTAGTGACAATTTTCATGATGACAATTATAACCTCCGAGGCTATCTGAGCTCTGAAGAAAAGATTCAATTAAAAGATTAAGTGATACAAAGCATTCAATATCTTCACAGTTGCCCATAACAAAATTTTAAACCAGTAAGATACTCACAGCATTCAATTCTGTTTATCAAATACTTGAATAAGCAACATTTAAGAAATGCTACAATAAAACAGCTCATAATATATTTTAATACTCTACACTACTACAAAAATAGTCATAAAGAGCTTAACCTACTCAATATTATAATGTTTTATTTTTTGCAAGCCATGTATCTTTCAGTTACATTCTCCCAGTTAATTACATTCCAAATCGCTTTTAGATAATCAGGTCTGACATTTTTATACTGAAGGTAGTACGCATGTTCCCACACATCTATCCCCAGCAGTGGAATAAGGCCTGTAGGTAAAGAAGACAAAAAGGAAACACCATGAATTTTAACCTGCAGTATTTTCAATTTATAAGTCTGCAGTATTCTCAATTTAAATTTTAATTATCTTATGTGCACAAAATTATCTATTACAACATTCTCATTCGCTCTTCAGTTTCTTATATAAACAGACAATCTATATAATAATAAATATTTCTCTATTTAAAATATTTTTAAAAACATTACTCTGGAAGAAAATGATATAGTAAAAATAATTTATCTTTGGGAAAATCCATTAACTCTGGTATTATAATCTAGCTGTTCTTAAAATACCAATAGATACGGGGAGTGTCAGTTGGGATGTGTTAAAATTGATGCGGGTGAATGAAGACTGCCAAAAATCTCCTCCGAAAGATCTGAGCACTCACCCAGGTTTGTAAGAAACCAGCTCTGCTCCAGAAGGCCAATTTTGATCACAGGGAATACAACGAATTTATGAGAAATTAATAAAGGATATGTTTACTGGGAAAGCTGAGTAAGACTAAGGAAAGAAGTTTTCAGAACTCAACATAGATGAAGAACTTTGTTGTACCTATAAAACATCCATTTTTTAAAACTCTCTAACCAAATGATAATTCTCCTCTAAGAAATGACCATCACGTTCACCTATTTTCATTCTACCGGGCTCTCTAATTGGGGGAGGGGAGAGTACAGTTAGCATGTATCTATAAATCACAGCCTCTTCAGTCAGGTGCTCTCTTAGAAATACTCTATCCTTTGCAGCATTTAGGGTTCACAAGTTCTTGTGGCTTTTACAAATTCTTGTAGCATCTCACTTCCCAAAACAGTAGTTTACAAATTCCAGCAAAATCTGAGTAAAACCAGGGAAATGAGTCCTGCAGCAAGTGGCCTGGTATGTGTTGTTGTTAGGGGCCGTCGAGTCAATTCTGATTCATAGTGACCGTATGCAGAACAGAATGAAACACTGACAGGTCCTGCGCCATCCTCACAGTTTCTGCTGCCTTTGACCCATCACTGCTACAACTGTGACAATCCACCTCGTTAGGGCAAGTCTTCCTTTTCACTGACCCGCCGCTTTGCCATGGCAACTTTGCCGTGTTCCTCTTCAGATAATCCAGCTTCTCGGATTATTTGCTCAGCACACGAACTAAATATATATAGTCGAAGAATACAACCCTAGTGCACATCTTTCCTGATTTTAAACCATTCTGTATTCCCCTATTCTGTTCAAATGACTTAGTTTATGTACAAGTTCCTCATAAGCACAATCAAATACTCTAGAATATCCATCTTTGCAATGTTGTCCATAGCTTGTCATGATCCACACAGTTGAAAGCCTTTGCATAGTCAGTAAGACAAAAGTTAACATCTTTCTGGTATTCTCTGCTTTTAGTCAAGATCCATCTGACATCAGCAATGATACCCCTAGTTCCACGGCCTCTTCTGAATCCAGCTTGAATTTCTGGCAGGTCCCTGTTGATATACTATTATAGCAGTTTTTGAATTATCTTCAGAAAAATTTTACTTGCATGAGATATTAATGATATTGTCTGATGATTTCCACATTCCACTGGGTCACCTCTCTTTGGAATGGGCAGATATGGATCTCTTCCAATCAGTCGAGCTGATTGATATGTGCAGACGTAGGAAAAGTGGATGAAAGCTACTTACTGTGCTATGTATGATGTGAAAGTATCATTTTGTATTTTTCACACCAAAGATCAAAGTTCAAGTTAATTGCTGGTTGGCTTGTGATTCTATTTCCCACACTCTTAGACGATGTTTACAAACAAGGGGTTTCTAATTCAGTTTTGCTCAACATTTCCCAAAAGAAAAGATTTGGTGAGCCCATCCAGGAGCTATTAAGCAAGGAATTTTGATTCACCCAAGACCCCTAAGTAAAAGTAGAAATCTGGGAACCACAGCTGTAGTCCCAGGTTGTTGTTTTTTAATTGCCTTTCTTTGTAAATTTTTTATTGTGAATTGGGCAGTGGTTTACAGAGCAGACTATTCAGTTTTCCATTCCACAGTTCAGACACTTGGTTCAGCTGATTGCAATCTTCTCAATGTAACATCCTTCAGCCATTTCCTCCTTGTGTTTATGTCCTTTCCTCCTTCTTGCCCCACCCTTCTGATCTTTGTCTTTGTCCTTCAATGTTGCCTGTATTATCTCAAATGGTTGGCCGTTCTATGGTATGTGTACCTCACTAGTGTGCTGTCCCCCCACATAACCGTCTAGTTCCAGTCTGACCACAAAAAACAGTGTGAAAGTCAGCATTCAGCCAACAAGATAGGGACAAGCTCTGAAGCCTGACTAAATCTGGATTTCTTGGCCTTGCTCTTGATGTTTATCTACTCTGTTTTTATTATAGTCTACTTATCAAGTTGTTGTTGTTGTTAAGTGCCTTCGAGTCGGTTCCGACCCATAGCAACCCTGTACATGTTTCCGAGGCTGTAAATCTTTACGGAAGCAGAAAGCCTCATCTTTCTCCCGCTGATTGGCTGGTAGTTTCAAACTGCTGGCCTTAAGGTTCGCAGCCCGATTCATAACCACTACGCTACCAGAGCTCCTCTATTAGATGACACTAATTGTATGTAAAATGAATCAGGGTTCATGCTTATAAAATTTTTGTTCACATATGTACGAAATCACACGCACTTTCTTTTATAAAATGGCAGACCCTAAAGGCATTTTTTGTTTACACAAAAGACTGGGTATCATCTGCTAAGAGTTCCTCAAACCAAGACATGGCCGTACTGCCTAAGCACTGCAAGTTTTCCTTATACCTAGTTCAATCCCTTTTAATAAACTCTAATTAAAGATGTCTAACAATTTCCATATCTAACCTGTTGTTCCTTGTAATGGGTCCTGATTGGAACAAGCAGCAATTTGTAAGAGTCCCTGTTCCTTATTGAAACCGAGCCAACCCCAGCCTGAACCTTGAACACCAACAGATACAGTCATCAACTTCTCCTTAAACTTTTCAAAGGAACCAAAGTCACGTTTGATGGCTTCCAGCAACTCCCCTATTTAAAAAAAAAAAAAAATCCAAAAACACAATATATGAACAGATTCAGGTTAAAAGAAAACACTATATTACAGATATGAAAATATTACATCCAGACAACATAATACAGAAGACAGAAAAGCCCACTGAGCCAACATCATACCAGAGTTCTATATAAGTGTCCTAAGGTTTCATAATGGTTTCTTAATGAAATGTGACAGGAATTTCTCTAATCAATAGGCTACTCATCAGGAAAAAAAAAAAATTCCATTAGATATTTTTCCCGTCAAAACTTTACTTTGGGCAACTTAGACATTGGCTACCCAAACTGGGGAGGGGGGGCCTACAAAGGCAAGAAGTGACTGGTTTACAAGCTTTCAAGAGGAAGCCTAGATCCAGAGGGTGTGTGAGAAGGTAGAATCTCCACTGAGTGGTTTCCAACCTGTCTGGGTGGGGCTGATGAAAGGAGATGGGGACAGGTCTCTTATGGTACAATAGTGAATAATTGCTATCAGGACTGATTGTGAGGGTTGGAAATGTAAAGATAGACATTCTGTAAAAATAGGAGGGAAGTGGTGGACTTTGCAGTCCAAGAGCGGCAGACCCTGGGACCATCAAGGGAGACAAGCAGAGTATGGGACCCTACCCAGAGAAGCAGTGACACCGGTGATGAAGGCAGAGAGATGACTTGAAGACATGGAGTGGCTGGGGACTCTGGACTCAGGAAGGGAGAGGGGCTGTGTGCTGACAACTGGGGGACAGGCTTGCAGGGAGTACCCTTTAGATGTTTGATGATGCATGGAGGGGACTATAACCATGGCAATGAAACGATATACGATAGGATGAATGTAAAGCTAATGTTCTCCCATGGAAACTATCACATAATTCACAATAAAAACTTAAAAAAAAAAACACAACTTTACTTTGACTTCTAGCCTAACTGCTATATGTCCCAGCTTAGGAATAAAACATTGTAGCCCTTATGTGATTCTTCTTCAAAGCAGTCTCAATCTTTTTATCTTATGAGCTGTATAGTTTTTAAAAGGGTGATTTTTCTCTTCTATTACTGCACCAAATGCACATTTTGAGAACGAGAACCCTTTTACTCTGTAGCATTCTAGAATATACTAGGCTGTGCATACCAAAAACATGACATCTCTTATCACACTGGTTTAAAAGTCATCACTTATCATAAGCCCAAATAATGGAATGATATAAAATGGCAAAGTTCCAAAACCTTTTGATTGAATACGGGTGTATCTGCTATCCAGCAATCCAAAGACTTCTAAAGTACTAAGTCATGGTCTGAAGACGTAACACAGAGAAAACACATCGCCCTGACACCCTTATTCACCTATACCTCAAAATGAGATTGTTTACTTCAAATGCCTAAAACAAGCTACCTTCTACTACACTGATTAAAAGGGGGAAAAAAACAGAAATTTAAGGTACTTTTGGCAAGGAGTCAAGAAGAGAAACAAGAGAGGAGAGTCAGATGTGTGCCCCATACCTTCCCTGGAATGAGGGAGTTACTAACTGAGGTTGGTCTCCATCCTTGACAGAAGAACCTTACAAACAACAAGAGGAAACAAACCGTCCAACTCTTACCTGGAGGTTTTTTAAAAGTACCTGGGACACCCAATTTCCTGGGACAATTAACTTTATAGTTAAGAGAAAACAGTAAAAGAAAAGCAAAAACACCTATTTTAAGCACTTTATATATAAGATCTTAATTCTTAACAACAGTCCTATTATAATACCTATGCCATATAAATAAGGAAGCATGGTAGCTCTGTAAGATAAGCATTGGACTGTGAACCACAAGGTTGGCAGTTCAAGCCCACAAGTCACTCCATTGGAGACAGATGAAGCTTTCTGCTCCCATAAAGATTTATAGCCTTGGAAACCCTATACAGGGTCGCTATCAGTAGGAACCAACTCAACAGAACTAACATCATCATGTAACTAAAGGTAAAGTATAAAATGGCTAAATATTCAACTTCAGGTCCTACACAATTCTAAAAGTTCAACTTTTCTAAAAACTGTATTTTTAGCATTGGTCTTTCCCTAATATGAAGTCCAGTACATTTAGACCATATTTGATATATATATGACAAATGTGTAATGCACATAAAGGAATCCTGGTATGGTGTTGAGAGACAAGCACTGGACTACTAACCACAAGGTTGGCAATTAAAACCGACCAGTCACTTCTCCAAAACCCTATCAGGGTTGCTATGACTCGGAACCGACTCCATGGCTCTTAACAACATTTCTATCAAGAAGCCCTAACTGCACTGTTAAGACACCGGGCTACTACCATAAGGTGGGAGGTTCGAACACAACCACCATTCTGCAAGAGAAAGGTGAGGTGAGATTGTCTGCTCCTGTTAAAGACTTAAAGTCTCAGAAACCTTAGATTGGTTTCTGTGAGTTGGAACTACTCAAACGTGGTGGACTTGGTTGTTGTTGTTGTTTTAATAACATCTGATGATATACCTAACTGAATACATTATCCATCTTCACATCCCTCCAAAAGTTACTTTACTGTATTACCTGTTATGAAAACTATGTCACTGGTGATACAAGGAGACTTCAAAAAGCTCATGGGATTATTCCGTTATCTTTTAACTCCATTTTTCCATGAACTTTTGAAGCTCTCTCTGACATCAGAGAGAACTAAGGTAACAAGAAATAGACAAGGAGTCCAATTATGCACAAAACGCAGACAAGGTGAATGGATATACACCAACCTTTGGGTTCTCCGCCTCCACTAGGACTCAGGTTTGTCCAGAAGATGGTATGATTGATATGACCTCCGCCATTGAACTTCAGGGCAGGCTGCAGAGCTACCTGGGTTGTGACGTCACCTGAAATGTTAAAATGCAAGCACATTTTTAAATTCTTACTTTTTCAACCATTCTACACACTTCAATGTTTGGTTTCGGTGTGTCTTTGTGAAATGTTAGGCAACCGGCCTAGTTCAGCACTAGCGTCCCTTGACTAGCTGGCTAGCTAAGTGCTGTCAAGCTGGTTCAGACTCAGAGTAACCCTGTATAGGGTTTCCAAGGAGTGGCCAACCTTTTGATCAGCAGTCCAGTGTTTATCATACAGTGCCGTGCCATATCGGAACACCCTACTGACCCTGAAATATCACAATTTCAGGATTCTATTTAAAAAAAAAAAAGGATCCTCCTAAAATTCTTTGTCCCAGTGGATTTCCAGTTCAACGAATGAACTGCTAAACAACTAGCCAGAGGCCCAGGTAGTTTTACAAGGTCATAGAAATTCATTCTTAACCTCTAAGAATCTTTCTTGGATATAAAAGATTTCAGAAAATGAAACCATTAAGAAATAAAAACAGAACATAATGAGATGCTAAAATGTGTGGGTCAATACACAGACACTATGGAAATTTTTCAACTTTCATTTTCAAGTTTTTCATGTGAAAATATTTAAATGTTACATGAACAAGAAACCCAACATATTCCAAATTGAACTCCTGCTCTCGCCTCACCAAGTTTACTCCTCCTGGGCCCATCCTTGTCTCGGTAGATGTCACCTATTTCCCAAGACATTCTTTTTCTTTCTTCTTCACTTTGTATTGTGAATTGGAAGGAACCTATGCTCACCACTAAAGCACCACAGCTTTACTGTGAACTGAGCCAAGGTTTACCGAGCAGAACACTTTTCCATTCAACAATTCATACACTTAGTTTCAAGTCCTGATCACAATCTCCACAAAGTAACAACACTTCGCCCACATATTGCCATTCCTCCTTTCCTAACCCTTCTGAACTTAGTCCTGGGGTACATGCTGCCCTTTCTATCTCAAATGGTTGATGACTCTAAGGTGTGCATGCCTGCCTTGTGATATTGCTCCCCATGTTGTTTGTCTGGAAACTGAGGCGTGGGCATGAGGGGTGAATTCAGCTCCAGATCTGAAGGATGAACAAAGGGTAGGTTCTAGCATCTCTAGCTGATCAATACATTTGGTCTTTTTTTTAAGATTATGAGTTTTGTTCCACATTTTTCTCCTACTCTATCCAGGAGCTTCCAATGTGATCCCTCCTTGTCAGAGCAGTTGACAGTGGTAGCCAGTTTTTCTGGTCTCCAGGGAATGAAGACTGATGTTCATTCGGTCCATTAGTCCACTCACTGGATTAACTGTTTCCAAGCATCTTCAGTTTTCTTCACTCTTCTGTCCTCCAGACAGGGACAGACCACTAGCTGGCACTTTATATAGCTGCTCACAACTTTGAAGACCCCAGCCACTACTCACCAAAGTAGGATGTACAATATTGTCTTTGTATGTCAATTGATCTTGGTGTCCCCAGTCTTGTATCCCCAGACCCAGTGACTCATTCCCTCAAAATGTTTGGTTATGTTTAAGACGTTTTCATAATTTCGCCCCCTCTTTACTCCATCATTATGGGCATATTTGCAGCACAGGTAAATTCCCTCATACAAATATTGTTCCGTGCCATTAAGTTGGTTCCGACTCCATTATAACATTCTCATACAAGCCTATCTATCTTCTCGCGCACGCTCCCTCTGGTACTTGTTCAGCCTGACTGTCTACACACACGTCTACTCACACACCACTCCCACCGCAGGGCTGTACCTGTTCAGCTGGACTGTCTACCCACCACTGCAGGACTGTGTGTGTAATAATGGTACTGACCTCTGTTTCTCACACTGATTCCTTGAGGTCATATGTGATTTCTCTCCTCTCGCACCCTCCATCTAATTTACCAGAGCAAAGCCAGCTCTGCCTTTAATAAAAGACATTCAGAATCTTTTCACATCAATCTCATCTTCCTACCTATGCTGTCTCCCCTCTGGTCCAGGCCCCCAGCACCTCCCACCGGCATTACTGCAGCCGCCTCCTCACTAGTTTCCTGCTTCCACATTCTGCCCCCACCATATATTCTCATCCCAACAGCCAGAGGGACCCTACTCAAGCCGCTCTTCTACTCAAGCCCCTCCAAAGCTTCTCTGCTCAGATCATGGATGATTATTTTACATATACTTTTTTCCCTAAATTGTCAAACCTAAAAATTTCAATTCAGTAATTTTTTTTGTTGTTTAAAGAAAATTCTGTAAGCACTTACTAACTTATAGGGGATGTTGTGGTTGTGGTTGTGGTTGTGTGCCGTGGAGTCGGTTCCGACTCATAGCGACCCTGAAAAGGATTTCCGAGGCTGTAAATCTTTACTGGAGCAGAACGCCTCATCTTTCTCCCGCGGAGCAGCTGGTAGTTTCGAACTGCTGACCTTGCGGTTCACAGCCCGATTTGTAACCACTACGCTACCAGAGCTCCTTATAGGGGATATAATACAATAATATAAAACCTGGGTTTTTTTCCACCAGCAGCTTTCATAAAGCAAGTAAAGCTTTGTTTCTGTAAGAACTGAAATCAAACTGTTCTGTTGTGGTGGTGGTGGTGGTGTCAAGTTGGTTCTGAACCATAGTGACCCCATATAGGGTTTCCAAGGTGCAGCTGGTGGGTTTGAACAGCCAACCTTACAGTCAGCAGTCCAACTGATTTGTGAGCATCAGATGCTGCCATGAAGGAACTACTTTCACAACTGTGACATCCTCTCTCCCCCCCATGACGACATCCCTCACTCATCTGGTGTTTCCTAATCAGGGAACCTTTCTCATAGTCATCGTAACTTTGTCTCAAGCAGACCTTCCAAATGTGCCAACTTCCTCCACAGACTGAAATGCAACATCTTTCCACTAGATGTCGCTAGTCAACCAGATGTCATAATCTTAATTATTCACATTTCATACGCCTGAATTCAAAAAGTTCAATAAAAACACATTGGCAGATGTATTTTTAACTGCTATACATACATTCATCAGGAAGAAGAGGAGGTTTTCTGCCCCCACAAAGATGTAGAGCCTCTGAAACCCTATAAACAGAGTCGTTATGAGTTGGAACCAACGAGGCAGCACTTGACAGCAACTTATGGAGCTGTAGGATAAGCAATGAACTGCTAACAAACCCACCAGTCACTCCTTAAACTCCTAGACAGGGTCACTATGAGTACGAATTGAATGAACAGCACTTAACAACAGTATCATACATACATTCTGGAAACAAGAGGGTTATAATTATTTTCCTTGTTTGTTGTTGTATACGCCACTGATGAACAGAATAAAGAATACTATGTTGTTGTTGTTGTTAAGTGCCATCAAGTCAATTCCGACCCATAGCAACCCGGTATAGGGTTTCCAAGGAGTAGCTGGTGAGCTTCTGTAAATCTTTATGAGAACAAACAGTCTCATCTTTCTCTCACAGAATGACTGGTGGGTTTGAATCTCCTATCCCACAGAGTTTTGTACAGAAACATGAAAACTGGTGGAACCCCTGAGACTATGGCCCTTGGTCACTTTTCAGGTATGAACGCACCCAAGACTCAAATTTCAGCCCAACAATACACAGGCCTATAAGGTGAACAATAACACCAGGGTGAGCCGCATTGTTTAGAACAATCAACCACAGGAGCTTAGTAGAATGTGGTCTCATAGGCTATCAGAAGGGCAGCACTAGGGAGAGAGCTCAGAAGACAGGAAGGAACAGGAAAGATGAACAATGGAAACTGATGACAGGGAGAAGTGAGAAGAGTGCTGTTACATTGTGGGAACTACAATCAATGTGATGAGACAAGTATGTGTGAATGGTCAAATGTGAAACCAATTTACTCTGTAAACTTTCACTCAAATCACAATGAAAAGTTAGACATTAAAGTAAGTTTAGAGCCAACTAGTCCAATGGACTATGAACATCAGTCTCCAAGACTCTGAAACCAGAACTACCAACTGTCCAGAAAGGGACTACGTTAGAGGGTGCTGATAGAGTGGGGGGAAATGTGCAACAAAACTCAAAATTATTTAATTTAAAAAAAAAGACTGGTTTTAGTGGTCAGAAAGAGTCTGGAGGAATCTAAGACTATGACCCTTGACCACCCTTCAGGTCTGGAAAAGAACTCACCCTTGTGACCCAATTTTCAGCCAAAGAAAAGACAGGTTTATAGGGGGGAACAACACTAGCAAGGTATGCTCACAATGGAATGATCAATCATTCAAATCAAAGGACATTTTCCTTAGGACAAAGGTGAAAAGAAATAGGGAGATGGGTGGAATGCAAATAGGGAGCACAGGGAAGGAGCAGGAGCCTGTTGTTGCATGGAGCGGGTTATAATCATTGAGGTGAAACAAAGTGCAGGATTTAGTGAATGTAAAGCTGATGATCTTTATCGGTAAACCTTCACTCAATTCACAAAAAGTTAAAAAAACAAAAACATAACATTCCCATACACACCGCAAACACAAAAACTACAGACAACACTAGTCAATTGAGTACTTTAAAAAAATGGAAAAGCTCCATGTTATATTTTAATTGAATTATAAATATTAGTAAATAGACACAAGTCTGCTCACGTTTCCCACCACAAAGATTATTTTCCTTGTGGATTCTGACCCCTGGGATCAACTCCAGAGCAGTATTGAGTCTAAAGGGCCTGAAGGGCCCCACAGCTCAGCAATGGCTTTTTGGTAGTGAACATCAGAAACACTAACTCCTGCCTCCTCTTCTCCCACTTAAAGGAAGACAAGAGGGCTACATAAGTTCCATGGAGGGAGAGAAGGGGGGGGCACAGGATCTACAGGGCACACATGTGCTCCACACTCTCCAAGGCAAAGGCTAAGAGTCCCATCCCATCCATCTCCACAGCAAGGACACTGGCCAAGTTCCTATTACAAATCAGACGTCAACTCTCCTTGAGTCTCCCAGTCCGTGTGACCACTGCTGAAACAGCTGACTCTGTAACTCTGCTGGACTTGGACGTGGAGACACTGACGTTGGCAAGCTCCTCCCCCTGTCCAGGCAGTGTGGTTCAGAAAGATGAACTCTGGTTGTTGACAGTGGCGCTTCATTCCCAATTCCATTGAAAGAACGTGTGAGGAACCCATGTTCAGAGGCCATGAAGGCACCTATGTCCCCCGAGTCTGGACCCCAAGTGGAAAGGCACTCAGCTATCTTACCAATGGAGCCCCAAGAGCACATTATATAATGTGAATGAATTTTCATTGCTAATATGCAAAATAAAAACCAAACCCACTGCCACACAGACAATTCCAACTCAGGGTGACCCCCTCAGTTACAGAGTAGGACCTTCTTTTGTGGCACTGCTGGGCGGATCTGAACCACCAACCTTTAGGTTAATGTTGTTGGTGTTGTTAAGTGCCGTCTAGTCGGTTCCAACCCATAGTAACCCTGTATAGTGTTTCCAAGGAGTGGCTGGTGGGTTGAACCTTGCAGTCCAATGCATTATCCTGCGGTGCCACACCAGGGCTCCTTTGTGTTAGTAGTCAAGCACAAACCCTTGAACCACCCAGAGACAATATGCAAAAAGAAGTTACACAGTATAGCTTTCTTAAAAAGCTCTACAATTCACCCAGCTAGTGGTTTGGGTAACAAAAGTGGAGCTTTAAAACATAATTCAGCTGTTCCTTAGTAATCATAATTCTATAATGACATATGTTGTTGTTGAGTGCCATCAAGTTGATTCCGACCCACAGCCACCATGTATAGCTTTTCCAAGGATTGACTGTTAAGCTTGATCCACTCACCTTGCTATTCAAACAACTTTGCAGTCCAGCACATTAACCCACAGCGCCACACCAATGCCCCACAATGACATATACAGAAGAGGAATTCCTCCACAAACTTTTTGAAGTTCCCTCAAATTACTTTAAAAATATAAAGTGAGAAACGTTCCTGCCTGAAGCACGTAAGTGGGACACATACGGAGTGGATTCAGATGAGATCCTTCACTGTGGCATTTCCAGGGGGACCACCAGGGAGCATTTCACTCTGGTTGTACACAGGGTCGCTATGAGTTGTAATCGACTCGACAGCACCTACCAAACACAACAGTTTCTTCCTGTGGCCCCGGATCTCACAAACATACCCTTTGCCAGTGCCTCTTTATACTTCTCCTCCGTGGCGTTCAGGTTATTCACGTAGGTGGCGTGGTGTTTGCTGTGGTGCAGCTGCATGATTTGGGCGTTAATGTGAGGTTCCAGGGCACCATAATCATAAGGTAAGTCAGGCAGGCTGTGTTTCTGCCTGGAGCCCAGAGCTCCCAGAATTGGTATCAACTTCCGGCTGGTGCTGAAAAGAGACAAAACACCCACCGATTCGATCCATCAGTGCAGTCCCCGTGAAAGCTTGTGCGCCCGACTATGAAGGCACTCTGGTAGTGTAGTGGTTACAAGCCGGGCTGCTAACCTCAAGGTCAGCAGTTCGAAACTACCAGACGTACCGCGGGAGAAAGAAGAGGCTTTCTGCTCCCGTAAAGATTTGCAGCCTCGGAAACCCTATGCTGGGTCGCTAGGAGACGGCACATAACCACCGGGCTACGAAGATGAAGTTGTAAACGAGCCTAAAGGGCACTTTCTCTCGCGCCGACCATGTTTTCTTGAAGCAATGCATCATTAAACAAACGTGACTGTCCTGAACGCACCGCACCGCCTGACTTTCCTAGACGCTGACCCCAACGTCAGGATGCATCCAGGGAAGAACGTTTACATCTTCCTGGGACAGTCTTTCCCTCCCAGACCGCAAAGCCCACTTCAGGAAGAGGCAATGTCCTTGAAGCCAAGAGACAGCACCCCGAAAACTGTACTCGCTCTGCGCAGGCTGTCTGTGGAGAACCCGTAACCTTGCCAGGCCCGGCGGCGCGGCAAGGATTCAGGAAAACGGGGAGCCGGCCGGGCGTGCGGCACACACGCGGCGCAGCCTCCCGGCGTCCGCAGTCCTGCCCTCAGTGCCCTTGGGGCCCGTACCCACGTCTCCGCAGCAGCAGCGCCGCTCACCGCACCGACCTAGCCGCGGGTGTCTCACCTGCAAGCCGCCCGGCACAACATGGTGCTGCGTCGCCCTGGAGGAACCTCACCAAATGCAGGTGCGCAGGCGAAGCGTCAGAAGTAAACCCCACTCCCAGGCCTCCGCGCAAGGGCACTGCCACCGCCCCTTCCGGCGGGCCCGCCCCTTCCTCCGGAAGACCCGCCCCTTCCTCTGGAAGGCTCCGCCCCTGCGCGCGCTTTCCAGTTCCTGGTAGGCTGCCTCTTGGAACTGTTCTTACTCTGCTCGTCGCCGCTTTCGGGCCCAGGAAACTTAGAAGAGGGCGCTCGACTGCCAAGGGAGCTGCGGGAACGGCAGCGAGCATTTTCCGCACGTGTATAGCGTATCGTCAATGGGAAGGGTCCCCACTATGTGTACGAGTGCTACCATCGGCTGAACGCGGGCCGGGAGTCTGCTGACCTGGCCGGTGGATGCCCATCCCTGTCTCGCCCCGAGAGGGGGGAATGGGCAGCTGAGTGATCAGGTGACCTCTCGGGAAGAAAGGGCCCCTAGCTCCCGGGCATGGACACAGGCAGGCCCTGAAGACGAGTCCCACCCAGCTGTTGAAGACGCTGCCCCACAGCGTGCTGGCGAGGCCAGTTCCCTCTTTCCAAATGACCTTTCTTTGCGAAAGTAAACTGACCTTGGAACTAACTCCAGGCCAGAGCCAGGAACCAGGCCAAAAACTGCCTGTTAATTTGTGACGCTGTAGGAGGCAGGGCTGCAAGGTCGGTTTGAACCGCAAACTTGGCGGTTCAAACTCACCAGCAGCTCCTCGAAAACCCCATGCAGGGTCGCTGTGAGTTGGAACTGATTCGACAGCACCTAACAACCAATAGTGTCATGGATGTGTGGTGCTGTAGGATCAGCACTGGACAAGATCAGCAATTCAAATCCACCAGCTGCTCCTCAGAAACCCTATAAGGCAGGTGTGGGAAACATTCGGCTTGCTGGCCATAAAAGCCCCTAAAATCATTTGGTCTGGCCCTGCCAAGGCAACCACAGGTGAGACTCAAAATTCAATAATCTAGGAACATTTTTCATAGCAACATAATTTTATATTAAGTGATGTTATAAATATTCAAATGACCCTTTGTAGAAAAAAGGTTCCTTACCTGCACAGGAACTTTATAAGTGTTGAAGAGCAGAGATGTCAGCTTGAGGACTAGGG